ATAAAGGAAATAATCATACTGACTTCAGTGAGGTAAGTGCATATGCCTTTGACCCTATTTATAGTAAAGGAAGGAGAAAGAATCAAAAGATAAATTCTATAGTTTATTATCTTAAAAGCACATGTGCCCTGCTGTTTGCACAGCAAGAGGATCCCCAGAAGTTATTGACTGGGGCTTCATGATCAGAATTTGCATCTAGAAGCTTCTTTTTCATTGACTCTGTCTTTCTATGCTGAGATAACTCTCCTCAAAGGTAGGGTGGGCTCCCATGGGTGGATTGTCCCCCTGCCACCCCACCCCCTGCTTTTCCCTGCTGTCCTCATTAGCTCTGGCTCCATTAGAATCCCTGGGGTCCAAAGACCACCTAGTTCCAGTTGGAAACTCCTAGAACCCAGAAGATTCTCTCCATACTCTATAGTCTTCTCTTTATCTACATCATCTCATGGTTTTGCTATTGATACAAACGAGATCTTAATACTCCTTACAATGGTTAATTTTATGTGTCAGCTTGGGGGAGCCACAGTACCCAGATATTTGGTCAAACATCCAAGCTGGATGTTGCTGTGAAGGTGTTTTTTAGATGAAATGAACATTTAAAGCAGTAGACTTTGAGTAAAGCCAATTACACTGCATAATTTGGGTGAGCCTCATCCAATCAGTTGAAGGCCTAAATAGAAAACAGTGAGGTCCCCAGAAGGAAGACGAAATTCTGCCTTACATCGCCTTGGAGTTGAGCTGCAACATCAATGCTTCCCTGGGTGCCCAGCCTGCAGGCTTACTGTGCGGGTTTTGGACTTGTTAGCCTCCACAATCATGGGAGTGAATTCCTTAAAATCTCTCTCTCTCTCTCTCTCGCACTCTCACTCACTTGCTCACTCTCCTGCTCTCTCTCTTTCTCTCTCAATAGGATAGAGACACACACATCTTATCAGTTCTGGCTCTCTACCCTCATACACTCTTCCAAATAGAGGACCCATAGTTCAAGCCCCCGCTTAGTTTTTCCCTAGACCCCAGAAATAATCTCAGTCCCTCCTTGACAGGAAAATCAGGCTCCAGACATGAACTTCCTCACTTTCCAAGCAGTTACCTGGGCTTGTACATGCCCTCACCTGTTACCCTGAAAATAAGAAAAGTTGACCCTTCTCCTGTTTTGGGTTAGTCCCTTTCCCTGTGCTCTGGATCTGAATGAACCCTTCGCTTCTTCCCCCAAACCAGGACCTGGCTCCATCTATCATCACCACTCTCTCCAGTACGTAGAGACTCAACATCCATCTCCTTCCCCAGTACCTAAAAGTGTGTTCAACTATCTCCCACGTTTTATAAAAGGAAGCAAAACAAAATCTCCCCAAACCTCAAATGGCACCTTATCTCCCTCCTTCCCTTCACAGCCAAGTGCTTCCTCCCACTCATTCTCCAGCCACCACATTCTGCCTTCCGCCCCTCACTGTGCCATGAAAGCCACGCCACCAAAGACACAGTGGTCCCTGGCTGCCAAGTTCAAGGGCAGCTTTTTGATCCTGACTTTTCCTGGCCCTTCTGCAGCCTCCGACACTGACCACTGCCCTTCCTGGGCCTCCCAACCCCCAGATGCCACGACTTCATTCCTCCTGGCATTCCCAAAGTGAAGGATTCCAACCACTGGTGACAGAAGGGGTCATTTTAGATGCTGTAAGACCACAACCAGGGCTGGGTATACCGTGTAAAATCTCTGCATTTCAGCCCTGCCTCGATGCAGGATAAAATGGGAGTTGCAGAGTGAGAAGAGAAATTCTCTCTTAATTCTCTTCCAATTCTTGTGATTGGAACAACGAAAAAGGCTCTGTTTGCAATTAGTGTGGCTTTAACATTTTTTCTAATGCTTGCTGATCTTTTCTAAAATAAAAAAGGAGAGCAGTCTTGGAGCCTTCTCTGGGCCAATCGTCACCAGCTGGAATGTAGAAACAGCGTTTTCTTTATTTCCATTTGCGGTTATTTTTTAGGAGTACTATCTGTGGGCGGGAAGGGATGTTACTTTCTCGTTTATTATACTGATAATACGTTTCCTTTCAAATAGTCTCATAAAAATTAATTAAAGTTGAGGTGAACTGAGAAAAAAACTAAGAAAACCATAGCCCAGGTGAGACAGGCCTGGGGTAGGCAAATGCCCCACGTCTGGGAAACTGGCTTCCCCGCTGGTGTTTCTCAGGACTCTGACCTTGACCCTCATTTCTCGCCCAATACATTTGTGATTTCTTGTCTGGTCACATAGATTTGATGTAATGTTGACTCCAGTATCTCTGTAGCTCTCTCCTGAGCTGTTAATGCAGATTTAACCACCTATGGGATAGCCTCACTAGATAGCCCACAGGCCGGCCACATTCAGCATTTTCTAAACTAAAGCCATCATCATCCTTTCCGTCCTATATGCACTACCCCCCAAAGAATGACACCAGCTTGTTATCATCTAAGCGGGAAAACTGGGAGTCACCCTTTGGACCTTCCTCTCCCTCATCACCGCTCTCTTTTACTCGACCTGAGCGGGCTCCCTCCTTTCCCTCCTATCTGCCTGCACTCAGACGCCTCACCTCTTGGAAGGGTCTAACTGGCCTCCCTACCTCCGGTGTCATGCCCTTCACATTCAGTGCCATGGGGCCTTGGAGTCTGAGGGTACCTACTATTCCCCTCCTTAGCCTCAGGCTGCTATTTTCAGCCACATAAGGAGACAAAGGGGCCATTTGAGGATCATGTCTTAACCTGAGGTCCACAAATGAGCCATGGGGGTGACTTGAACCCACTGAGATTGATCGCAAAGCTTTGTGCATATGGCTGTAAGTGCATTTTTTCTAGGACATGAGCCCACGACTGTTGTCAGCTCCTCAGGGGGATCTTTAAGGCCAAGAGGGGTACCCCTTCTTGCCACACTGAACCATCATGAAGATTAACAAGTAGATCAAGTGAGACTGGATAGCATTTAAGGTTCTCTCCTCCAGCTTCAATCAGTCTTTCCCTGGGAGCCTCCCCATCATCAGTACCCTTTCCCCCACAAACATATACCTTTTAAAGCCCTCGACTTTTACGAAGGCAAACTGCTTAGATAATAACATTCACTGTTGTAGGGACCTCCATCTTATATGAGCAAAGAAGATAATTTGGATAGATATATGCCTCCAGGAAGGAAAAATGCAGAGCTACAATGCCAAAGGTAACTTTCAAATAATATTCTTCAAAACTCCAGGTAGGGTACATGGGGCTTTGGGGGAAGGAGCATATGTGTCTCAATGGTACAGAGAAAGAAATGTGGGGTTTTGGGGTGATCATTATTATAACAAAAATAACTGCCATTTATCAAGTTTACTATTGCCAGGTGCCGTGCAAATCACTCTGTGACATTAAGTCCTGTCGCTGTCATTTACCACATGAAGACGCTAAGGCGGGGAGTAATGAACTTACCCACAGTCACAAGGCTAGACAGTTGGGGGGCTGGAATTCAAAGCCGGATCTGTTTGACCCTAATCACGATGCTGTGCCAACAAAAGCATGATAGATTTTTCAGAGTTTCTGCTGCTATGTAAACTGCAAAACAAGAGTCACAGTCAAGCTTGTTCTGTGCTGTGAGAATTACAAATATTTTATCAAGATAGAAAATAAAAATCTACACTTCTCTCTCTGAAGGCTCTGTGCTCCCCCCCTCCCCCCCCACAAACATTTCATTCAGACTACGTCTATGGGTTTTTTGAGGGTAGCGGGTGGAGAGATGAAGTTGCTTGCTCAATTAGTGATTATATGATGGCACAGAGACACACTTTGAAGCATGGGCTTTCATGCAAGAGTTTTTGCAGTGGCCTCCTTAGACTTCAGGAACAGCATCCTGGGAATGGAGGAGCAGCTCTGCCATGCAGGGCTGTAGGGGGGCTGCAGGAGGCCGTCCAGACCCAACTGGCCTCTCCCTCTCATCCCCCTGGTGTTACAGGGACCCATGGGTTCAGCGAAGATGCTGGGGTTGGTGTCCACAGAACGGAACCAGCCTTCATGCCCGAAGGTTGCCAAGACTTTCAGGGAGAAGAACCCCTGCAGCATCACAAAGGTCGGACTAAATTTGAGGGAACTCTGAAGTGAAAGGTTAAGATATTGGGACATAGGCGTCAGAAAGATACCGGAGGAATAGAGGTGGTGCTGGTGCAATAGAAGGGATAACCATCACCCACCATTTATTGAGCACTTACTAGGTGCCAGGTACCAATCCAAGGAATTTACATCTAATCCTCACAACCATGGAAGACACCAAATCCATTTCTTTTTCCTCCAGGAAATACAGACCCCATTTCCCAGCCTGCCTTGCAGTTGGAGGAGCCATGTGACTAAGTTCTGGGTCCTACAGGATGTGCATCGCTTCTCCTGCCTAGCCCATCCCCAAATCATCTCTCTCCACCTAGCAGTTAGCAGAATCACAAAACAGAAGGAACATGGGCCCTTAAATGTCCCTGTGGAAGGCCGCGCATCCAATACCCACTTGGACCATCACATGTGTGAAGCAAACCTTTAGATGTTAAGCCATTAAGATTTGAGGGCTTATCTGTTATAGCAGCTGGAGTCCCCTGCCAGATCCCGCAAGCCCACGAGCAGTGCTGTTCCTATCATCATTTCCAAATGAGGATCTTCAAACAGAAAGCTCTCCCAAGGCCACAGCTCATAAGTGCTAGTGTCAGGACTCAAACCCAAGCCACTGGGCCCCAGAGTCCCTGCTGGCAGCCTCTAGTTCTTTCCTATAAAGGGTTGTGGGGACTGAAGGAGACAGTGCATGTGCAGTGCTAGCACGGTGACTGACACTTGAAGCTGTTATTGTTCATGATTGTGATGAGTGTCCTCTGGGCCTTCACGGACTCGTAAAGATCCTGCCCTACCACCTTGCTACTTCCCTACTCCCATGCTGACCCTAACTCACTCTGTCTGTGTCTCTGACAGTCTTTAGGGAATGCACTTACTATCTTCCTGCCTTCTTTTTTTGGAGCAATTATAGGTGTAGCGTGAGGTTGCACGTGCAAGCTGGGGCACACACGGGTTCCCTGTGGAACGAGGCTGACGGCACTACAGCGAAGTTACTGGTTTTTCTCACCAGCTTGAAAGAACCTCTCGCAGGTATGTGAATCAGATTGGAGGATAAATCGAAGTTGGGGGGAATCGCTAATCTGATAGAAGACCAAATGGAGACTCTTAACCATTCTCAACAGGCTGGAATGATGGGGCCAATGCCAAGAAGAGATCTAATAGAGAAAAGCAAATGGCAGATTCTTCGAGGAAGAGGACCCAAAAGGTCATTGACTGGAGCTTCTGATTAAATCCTTGAGTAGATGGATTACCTGCCTCCTGATTTTTACTATTCTAGTCACACCTGTTTCTATCTGATTATCTCCAGGCGTGTGAAGAAATTACTGTATCTGTTTTAAAATCTTGTTAAACTCCAATTAAGTGCCCTGGGCCGGCTTAGATTTTTAAACCCCAAGCTTTTAAAGCAGATGTCTCTGAAGCAGACTGGTATGTAATCCCGAGTGTGTGATCTTTGCTTTGGGAAGTATTTAGTGAGTCAACTTCAGCATTGTTGGGTATTGATAGAACAGTGGTCCTGTGGGGAGGAGAGGGGGTGCTGAATCTACGGGTGAGCTGGTCATTCTGTTTGTTCCAGTCACCCGAAGCAAAAGGGGCCACACAAAGGGCAAATATGTATTCTTCTAGTAAACTAGAAGGCAGGTAATTAGGACCAATTTACTAGTTTTCCACAAGAGAAATGTTAAGAGGTTTGATATCTGGCTAAGTTGTTAAAATCTCAGCCCCTCCAAAATGTTCTAACTTTAAAAGACTCAGAGTAAACTATTTCGACTCCATCTAGCAGGAAAAAAAAGGGGTAGACTGAGTGAGTGGCATTGGGATCACTATGAATTAAAATACAAAACCAGTCTTTCCTAAATTGAGCTAGGCATCAGCGGCTCTGGTGTTGCCTCCTAAACCACAGTCTCCGAGGACATGGCCTGGGAACTTGCATTTTAGCAAGGTCCTAAGACAGTTCTTCTGCATATGTAAGCCTCTGGAATAGAAAGAAAATACCTCTAACTATTCCCCGTTTCTTTAGAGAAACAGAGGACCTACCATTTGAAGCAATAATTTATGTTCTGCTAACTAGTTTATGCAGCTCTGGTTTTATTCAAGATTCCTATTTTTATACAAAAATATAATTGAGCAGAAAAAACCCATGCTATTCAATACTCTATGGAAAGCCTAGTGGTTTGGATTCTAAACCCATGACCAAGTCACCTCCCCCATCCCCACCCCCCCGCTTCACTGGACGGCAGAGTACCAAACAGAAAACATGTACCCAGAAGAAAAAGGACTCCTGGCTGCTGGGTGTGTGAGCCCAACCTCGAGTCCTAAGAAACATTCACAGTAGGAATGACCAAGGCAAAATACAAAGTGCACGTCCTCCCCAATTTTTTTTTTTACTGTGGGTCAATTCATGTTTGGATATATCCTTATCTGCTCAGCTATCATCATTGTGTGCGGGGCCAATACGTGTGCTCATTATACTGGATGTAGTATAATGTTCAGATGTAGCTAATGTGATGATGTGGAGAGGGCCTCCTTCCTCTTGCGTCCCTTTGCTCTGTGGCCTAGTTTTTGCCTTGGGGGAAAATCCCGGGCAGGTCTTAAGATTTTCCTGGTGCTTGCAATCACAAGAACTGATTTCTTTTCGGAGTTACTATGTCCAGTCCCATGTAATAAGGAAGTCCGCTTAGAACTCTGCTCTTCCTCCAGGTCTTCTGCCTCCCGTACAGGACTGGGACAGGGTGGCTGCTTCGCTCTTTTCTCCACTGGCTCTACCCCCACTGGCTAGCTGCTCTTTCTGGCCCTGGTGAGGTTAGGGGAAGGGATTGAGGGAAAAGGTACCATTTCTGGCTACCATAATGTTGGCGGTCTCTGGCCTTGGTAGGATTGCAGAGCTGACTCGTCACTCAAGGCTTTCTACTGTGGCTTCTCTGAGATTCCCCACTAGAACCTCCCAATGCCCTTCCAATGAGCCAGGTGATGGCTCCTCTCAATGGCCGCTTAAGCCTCCAACACTCAGGCTTTCAAAATCAGGGTCCGCCCTTCTGCTGGGTCGGTCTGTTCTCCCAGGCCGCGCTCCTGGGCCAGGTCCCTTTGAAGATGGCTCCAGGTCATCTCCTTCTAGCATGTCCCACATTTATTCCACCAGGAAACATCATTGCCCTATAGTTATTTGTGCAAGTGCATATTGTTTCCAGGACAGTTTTTTTTCTCTCTCCCTGTTCATCTTCTGCCATCTCAAGGCTTTGCCTTTCCATTTTTCAGGCATGTATTATATACTAGTACCCAGTATGCCCCAGAAAGAGGCCTGGCTGCCAGGTAATCCCTAGCAACCCCTGCTGACTTGAGGGGAGGGCAAAGCATCAACCTTTTCTGCAAAGGAATGGTGTCCTCCTTGGTTCTCCAAGGCCTTCTCTTTCATAGGACAGAGGATGGACTAACTCTGGTGACACTGGTTTAATCTCATAAAGTGTCCTGCCTGTGATCTAACATCCATTAGGGCATGGGTGGGCAGGACATGTATTATATTGCTCTCTACCTTTGGGGATTCAGTGCAAACACGCAGACCTCGGGAAGGGCAGGATCAAACATTCTGTTTTGTGTGTATAAGTATAACCATGTCCGTGGGCGCCAGCTGGGCACAGGATAGCCAAAAAACCGATCAAGATGTTTTCTTGAGGAAACAGCATGAATGAGAATGGATATGAAGGCATGTGGTAAATATAAAGTGATGGAAATGTCCATGCTATTCTCCGGTATTTGTGTGGGCCTCAAATTGGTGGGTGGAAAAGCAGAGAATCTGAGAAAATAGGGAGGAGAAAACCACTGAAGGAGTGGTAGAGGGGATGGAAAACTTCACAAGAACAAGTGGACAAAGAATTTCAAGAAATTAAATGAGCCCTTTAGAGAAACCCAGTAGAGAAGGGAAGCTTGCGCCCACCAGAAACGTACGGGTCCATCTCCCCTGTGATTTGGGGGATCAGCCTGGCTTGGAGCCATTCTTCTAGGTGACCTGCCCAGTATGTTACAGATGCTTGGGTCCGCTGTTTCCTATCATTGCATGATCCAGTTCTGTCAGTCCTCCCCATCTCTTTTGGAAACTATGGGACAAGGTGATCTCGAAAGTCCAATCCAGCTCTGAGAGTCTAGAAGGCACTTTATGATTCAAAGACATCCCAATTATGGAAGCTAGCTCCAAAACTTTTCACAGTGGTTCTATCCTGAGTGCAGTCTGAGATTGAGCTCAGAAATGAGGCAGTATCTCCTGGGAAGCAAAAAGACCTAACTTCTTAAGAATGTTTATTTATAAGGCAGAACGCAGCTGGGACTTGCCATCATCTGGAGCCTACTGAGCGGTAATCGGTCAAGGTAACAAGGGCATCCAGGGTTGGCCGGTATTGCCAAGGCCAAGGCCAAGGGCTGGAGCTGTGGCAAGCTAGGGGAAATTCCTAGTGTAGTTATTCCAGAAAGCGGGCTAGAGAACCACTAAAATAAGCTGAATCCCAGTGAAGGGAGCACCAGGAAACCTTGGGAGCAAAGACAGGAGGGACATACAGCAAGAACTAGAAGGAAGAACACATCTCTAAGAATAGAGCCTGGTAGGTGCTTGGTAGAGCAGGACAGCTCGGAGAACTTCAGGGTGTGGGTTGGAAGCCTTGAAGAGGCAGGAATGCAAGCAGGGGAGACAGCAACCACTCATTGCCTTCCCCCAGATCCTGGGAACCTGGCCAAAGGGATCCAAAATGGGGTGATAACTGGGGGTACCTGGAAAGGGCATTCAACCCCCAAGGAGATATTTGGGTGAAATGAGCACACCATTACCACCACTGTTCAGATGTAGCTAATGTGATGATGTGGTTTCCCTATGTGGCTGGTCGTGTCCAACTTATTACTTTAAAACTACACTGTGTATGTTAGCTGCTCTCTTCCCTTACTTTACACAGCTGAAAAGTAAATTGTGCATTTTAACGGACAGACTTGGGTGGAATTTGGCGGTGAGGAGGCTTGATGGTAGTAGAAGAAAGTTCCCCAAGGTGCCTGAAGAAGAAAGCCTTCATCTGGGATGGCCCTGGGGATATCCTATTATGAAATGCTCTGCAGACTCAGTAACTTCCACGAGTAGTCTCCCGTGTGGCCCAGACAGAAGAAAAACAAGGGAGAAGAAACGCAAAAGAGCCAACAAAAGGAAGAGAGACAACAAAATCGAGGCAGACCTTGATGGAGTGGAAGAGTGAACGGGCCCTTGAGTTCGGAGACCTAGAATGCCCACCGAGGGGTGGGGGGAGGAAATTGCCCTGAAGGGAGTTGCCTTCAGCACTGCCCAGCCCCACCTGTGCCTGGACTTGATTTCCACCCCCCGCCCCAGCGCTTCCCCTAAGTGGCTCTATCTCTTCTGCACATGCTCTGTCTGCTAATCTGAAAAATGTTGCCGAGCATTCAGAGGAGAAAACCAGAAAGCGGGTTTGATCTTTTGTGGCTGGTTCCTTGGCCGTGGCTGCTTCCAGGCAGCCCTCTCCCGAGCTCCCGAATGACAGCCCCTGCACCCTCCACCCCACCTCGCACTCCTCGGCCTCCCGTTCCCAGCGCTGGGATTTTTTGGCACAGCGGGCCAAAGTCCGGGGGTGGGGGGCAGCCTGCGCTGCCGGAGACCAGCGGCAGGTGCGACCAGGTAAGCCCAGGTGTGCTCAAGTCCGCCCAGTCACGGCCTGAGGGGCGCGGGGAGCAGAGCAGCTGGGGGGGGGGGGGGAGGGAGGACCAGCCTCGCTCCTGTCGTCTTTATATGTGCTTATTCCAAACGGGGACTGCAAAGTGGGAGCTTGGAGTGTCTTCAGGGGGTCAAAACCTCGCGTGCCAAGCACAAAGGGGCTCGCTTGTTCTTTCCCGCACGGGCAGTTTGCCCGGCCCTCGTCTGACTGAGTCTCTGTTTCCCCTCCTTCCCCGCCCCTTCACGCTCCCCTCCTCCGCTCTCCCCGCTCCCCCGGGTGGAGGACGGGGCGTCCTGCTCCCCCAGTGGGGGCGCTCGGGCTCCGGGGCGCCCAAAGAGCTGCGCGCGCCGGCGTAGTAACAGCTCCCTTTCGCAGGCTGCCGCCCCCCGGGGCTCTTAAAGGCGCCCTGCTCCCTTTCTGCTCAGCCGGCTCTCCTCCCCACCTTTGTGTCACCTCTCGAAAGCTCTGGCCCTCTCGCTCTTTGGCTCCTCCACGCCTTTCTCTCCTGTGTGACTTTCGCCTGGAGCTCCTCTTCTTTCTCATTCACAGGCTTTTCTCTTCTCTGCTAGCCTTTCCCTCTCTTTCTTTTCCTTGTTCTTTCTTGAATCCCTTCCCCAGCTACCTCCCTAGCCAGGGGTAGCATGTGACAGCAGTAAAACCTAGCTGAACTGGGGAATTTGGATGAAATGCTAGAAATAAGTAAATTTAGGTCACACTTCATTGGCGTATTGAACAGAGCCCAGGTAGTATACCTGGTCCTTTCCTGATGCCTCAGGTGGGCAGTGTTCGGGAGGAGATGTGGTTGGAGGAATCTTCCCGGGTTGACTGCCCTTTGGGGTCAGCATGGTTTGGTCCTCCACTTTGCAGATTCAGAAACTTGTCTTTTTGGTTCACTGGGAGCAACCACTCATTGCAAAGTTGACTTAACACTATGCCACTCACAAAAGAATAAGGACAATGCATTAATTTACTGGCAGGGATAAGCCTTTTGTGTCAGGGATGGGCTAGATGCTGGCCAATGCTGCAACTTCTCCCTGGGCTGGTAGGGAGAGTAGACAGAGTCAGCCTCACTTGCCCATAGGTGGAACCGCCTGATTGAGTTCCAGCCAATGGAATGTGAGCAGAAGTGATATACATGCCACTTGCAGACCTGGCCATAAATGTCCCAAGTGCTGGAAGTGAAGGGCTCTGCAACAGGAGACATACAATGGAAGGCTCTTCGATCTTTGAGTCACCATATGGAAGAGAACCACCAGGAGAGATGCCTGACCCACATGGACTGTGATGTAGACAAGTAAACTTTTACTATATGATGACACTGAGCTTTAAAGATTGTTTATTCCATGTGATAGCATCAGTGTATTTTTCTAGCGAAAAATAACTTGTTTCCACTGTTCTGAACACTCTCTTCCCATACAAGGTACTAAGATGGAAACCTGTACGGAGAAAACTTGTTCTCAGAGGCTTGCTGCGTTAGCCAGAAGTGGACCAAAGCCCTGAGAGGTATTTATTTAAGCTGTGGTGCATTTCTGCCTTAGCTGGGGAGATACTGGAAAGGAACTAATGGAAGTAAGGTAGATGAAGGCGTTAAAATGGTCATTCCCCAAGCATAGGCTACTTCCTGGTCACCTGTTCATCTTTTGATTTAGGAGTAGGGAGAGGAGTATGAGGACCAAAAAAAAAAAAAAAAAAAAAATGGTACCAATTCAGAAGTTCGGGGAGAGGATGGAAGTGCCCAGATTTAAAGACATCATGCAGTTTCATGCCAAAATAGAGAAGACTCTGGGCTGGCCAGGAGGGAATTGGCTCACACTGGGGGGTCACGGAGTCATGAGTTAAGTTCCAGGGGCACATGTCCCACTGCCTAATCCACATCTCCACTCAGACATCTTCCACTCGGAGGCATTCCAAACATAGCAGGTCCAAAGTTCTTCCCGAAGCCCACCCCCATCTCATCAGTGTCTGTTCTGTTTTCCCCATTTCTCAGGCCAGAAACCATAGTCTTAACTAGCTCTTCTCTTTCTCTCATGCTCCACACTTAATCCATTAGCAAATTCTCTATGCTGTACCTTCCAAATACATGGAGGGGCACCTGGTTGGTTCAGTCGGTTAAGGATCTGACTCTTAATTTTGGTTCAGGTCATTCTCAAGGTTGTGAGATCGAGCCCCACATTGGGCTTTCTGCTGGGCGTGGAGCCTGCTTAAGATTCTGTCTCTCCCTCTCCCTCTCCCCCTCCCCACCCTTTCCTTCTCTAAAAAAATAAAGAAAGAAAAATACACGGAGGAGTGAGCTACATCTTACCATCAGGCGGCTACCGCCCTATATCTGGCTACCCTCCTGTCTTACGTACATTATTGCAGAGGCCTTCCTACTGGTCTCCTTGCACCCATGCTTGCTCCCTTCCTGTTTGTTCTTCCTACAATAGTCATACTGTTTTTGTTTAAAAATGGAAATCAGATCATATTGCTTGAACTCTCCAAATGCTTGCCATTTTGCTGAAAATAAAATTGAAATTTCTTATGTTGGGTCTACCAGGCCGGCATGGTTTGGACCCCCACCTCCTCTCTGATCTCATCTCTGCCATTCCCTCCAGCGGAAGCTGCCAATGCCCCGCCCACATCCCCAGGGTTGCCCCGAGGTTACTGCAGACACAGACGGGGGCCCTAGCCCTAGGCTCGGGTGGCCTACCTGTATCTGCCTGAAGGCATTCTGTGACCTCAGTGAGGAGCAGGTTCCAAAAGCCATCTTCATCAGTGAGCCGGGAATTGGATACATACCCAGCTTCCTGACTGCTCACTGGGGCAGTTCTGAGGCATATTCCTTATGGTCTCGGAGATCCCTAGCAGGGGAGAACCTCAGGAGCCCACAGTGGTGGCCCTTTTCAGGACCTGTAGTCACATCATTATTTATTTCTTGCCATTTCCTTAGTTATTGCCTTCCTAGAGTGCAAGCTCCCTGAGGGCAGGCCCACGTCCACTCATGAATGTCCCACTTAGTGGATTACCTTCCTTCCCTCTTTCACGTCCCCATTCTCTCTTAGTGCTTCATAAAATCACCTCCAGAATAAACCACTTCCATCCAGACTTTTTTCTCAAGGAGTTCACAAACTAAGGGACCTCTAAGTCTACCCAGCAACACCAGCATCCTGTTTCTAGAACACATCAAACACCACACCACCTCAGAGCCTTTGCATCTTCCGTTCCCTCTGCCTGAAATACTCTTCCTTTCCTGTCTTCCAGGTCTCTGCTCAAATATCATCTTTGTCTCTGTATTATGTAGGAACCTGGACCCCCATGAATAGCTCTCTGTCCCCTTTCTCTGCTTTATTTCTCTTCTTTATTTATCACCTAAGGCTAACAAACCCATTGTATGTTGGTTCACTGACTGTCTCACCCAGGCAAAAGATAAGCTTCATAAGAGGGACTTAGTCTGTTTTGTTCTGTTCTGTTCTGTTCTGTTCTGTTCCTGGCAGGGTCAGGAGTGGTGTCTGGAATATGATAGGTGGTTCAGTAAATATTTGCTGAACAAATGGGCATTGAGATAGAGAATAGGAAGAAAGGAAAGAATGTTTGTGACCACAGTCACAGACATGCTGTGTGTCTTTAATGATCTTTGTTGGTAAAAGCTCAAAGTCTACAAGATGGGAAATGTACCACTGTATGAGAAAGATCTTAGGGCATCCTCCATTTCCTCTTTTCTGTAAAAGAATTTGAGTCTTTACCCCCAATGAAAATGAAGAAGAGAGTTAATTTCACAAAGATCTCTGCTTTCTGACTTTTCTTATAAGAAGTATTTGAGATCCTAATTATAGCATCGTTCACAAATTTTTTTTCATTTAGAAAGTTCAAATTTTTTTTTCAAGAACTAGCAGACGTGAACAGATTGATGCTAATGAGTAAGCCTGACAGAAAATATGCGAGGTAGCTCCCAAACCTGTTCCGTTGGGTTTGAGGAGTCGACCTGAGCTCTCTTCCCCCTCATCTCTGGTTTTTCTTGGCACCCTCTTCCTGTGGGTGTGATCTGGGTCTCGCCTCCATGTTAGGTGACCCCTCAGGCCCCCACCGAAACATCACCTCTCCCTGACTCCCCTCTAATGAGGGAAGCCCCTGCCGGGTGATTCTCCTTCATGGCGTGCTTCTGTTTCCCTTTGTGGCCCTTTTCAGGACCTGTAGTCACATCATTATTTATTTCTTGCCACTTCCTTAGTTATTGCCTTCCTAGAGTGCAAGCTCCCTGAGGGCAGGCCCACGTCCACTTTGTCACAACCACATGCAGAGTGCCTGGTGCACAGTAGACTCTATAAAGATTCGATGGACCCAGGAATGAAAGAGCACATAAAGGCAGGTTGGCAGCGGCATGCTCAGGTGGGGTCACCAGCCCAGTGCGGGGACCCAAACCTCCTGACGCCCCCTCCGAGCCCCCCACCTAGTCCTTCCCTCTCTCTGCTTCGCCAAAGCTGTGAATCACCTCACTGACGGGCAGGGTCATCTGAGAAAGTAGAAAGAGGAAAAGAAAAATGAGGCACAGGAGGGTAGAGTGGAGAATCTAGGCTCTTTTAACAGCCACTATTCCTTATTTCTTGCTAAAGTATTGGCACCTTTAAAAGCCTTGGCTGTCCTCCCCAACCTCCCCACTCAATCACAAACCACAGTGCCTCGAGAAAATAAAGGGGGAAAAAATCAATGTGCTAAATCTTCACTGGGCTCAGTAGCAACTCCCCGTGTGGCTTCCCCCTGCTGGCCGGCCAGCTAAACTCTCAGGACCTCCCTCTGAACGGCACTCCAAGTTCAGATGTGGTGGGGAGGACTTGCGTGTTAAAAATGTTCAAAAATCATCTGAGTTGTAGGTGGTTGAGTTGAGAACAGAATCATATTTATTTTGAAAAAGTTAAATATGACTTATTTTCATTTCTCCTTTAAGTCTTATTTCTTTCCGCCCCACCCCTTACCCCAAGTCTGAGGGAGTTTACTGCCCCAGGGAGGGAGAAGGGGGGTACAGCTAAGGGGTAACAGAACTTTGGGTATCAAATCTCTCTTAATCGAGAGCCGGGACTGGAAAGCTGGCCGTTGCGGAAAGAGAACAGGGATTTCTAGATTCCCAGACTCCTCCTCTAACATGTGGAGAGCCATACCCAGTTGGTTGATGAGTGGGTTTTAGAAAAAGGAGGTCTGCATCAGAGAGAAGACCTATCCCAGCGGATGCTAAAAAGGAGGGTATGACGGGCAAGGGGAGACCGAGCTAGGACCTGAGATCATATAGATTCTTGTCGGCCCTTCCTAGGGTCAGGACCCTGGTGTGTGTGTGTGTGTGTGTGTGTGTGTGTGTGTGTGTGTGTGTGTGTGTGTGTGTGTGTGTGTGGAGGACAGGGGAGAGAAACGTAGAGAAACAGGTAGTTATGGGGGAAGCTGAGAATATCAAAGTGAAGGGCTTCTGTCACCCTGGGCTTCTGGCCCATCTTAGAGGAGGCTGCCAGTTCCCAGCTGAAGACCCACCTGTGCACCAAAAAGCAGTTGCTAGGCATTGGCCGAGGAGGTGGCTGGATGAAGGGGCCAGCTCAGGGAGAGCAGAGCATCTGGAGTTCTCATCTGACCAAGAGAGGATGTGGAGAGTGCTGGGTGGAGGGCAGACAGAAGCTTGGCGTTGGGCTGAAAGAGGCCAGTGGGCAAGGACTTTCTTTTGTTCATTGTTGTATATCCAGCACTGGGAGCACTGCCGGGTACATAGTAGGTGCTTGATCAATATTTTTGACTGAAATGATTCAGTGAAGGTTCTAGGTAACCCCCCCCCAACCTCTGCTACCATAAGGCCCTGAATACTGCCTACCTTCCCACACAACCATCCTTTAAGGGAACAGGGTGTGGAGGACAACTGAACAACTGAGCTTTGCACCACAGAGTAGGTGGGTGATATATTTAAAAAGACCATTTATAGCAAAGTAATTGGTGAAATACACACTGATTAAGTTTTAATTGTGTTTCTCTTCATGGTTTTGCATTGGGGTATGAATGTAGAGCATATCAGTTATGGGAAATAAAAAAGCACATCTGAGTGAACTATAGAAATAAGCATACATATGCTTCACTGTGGCTCCTCACATGAGTTCACGGGTGTGTGTGACCAACCTGCCATTGTGTGTGATGCTACAGAGGATGCATGAGGCAAAAGAGCCATCTAAAAGCTATCCAACTAGTCGGGGTGCTATGCTACGTACTCTGTAGCTGGAGACATCCTTGTGAAAGCATGTGGCTGGGTCCAATGACACATAGCCACAAAATCTTTGAACAAGCTGGCCTGGAGGAGGTTGCACACCCCTCCATGGTGGGGGGTTGTAGGGGATGCTGCTGCGAAGACATGGCAGCCAATGGCGGATTTCAGTTACTTGACTGAGTGGGCCGGGCTTGGAGCAGGTGAGGGGAGGTGTGACTTCCCAGAACGCACCACCTGTGTCCCTCGCTTGGGAGGCATTCCTCAAGACAACCGCTCCGAGGAAGGCTTCAGTAAC